GATTTCATGACAAAAGACCGGGAAAATTTGAGCCTCGCGCCTTGTTCTTCCTCCTCAGGATCGAGTGGAATCACAGATGTGGTTTCTAGTGAGCAAGTGGACAATGATCACGGAGAAAGCAGTAGTTGCAATAGTTTAGGTTTAATTAGAAGAAAACAGTAGCGGTTTTAGTTAATTAATTTATAATCCCCTTAAATTAGTTGGCTTATGTTCCAGTAATTGGGCTCTTCTGGTTGCTTTATCAGAATAATCATCTGAGAAAAATCCAAGTTTAGGAAGAAAATCGGCAGTTACTTGTAGTCGGTAATTTCGAGAGCAATGGATGGTGTGCCCTTATGTAATCAAATCCCAAATTTTCTAATATCTGATGTCTTTACATTTTATTTCCATTTGTTTGGACCTTATTTTAGCTCTAACAGCGACATGCTCGCATATTTACCACTCTCTATTTTCTCTGTTTGTTCCAGTTGTTAGAACGATTTGGAGTAACCACATTTGAATATGAATTTTCTTTTATAATTTATAATTCTAAAATTCTAAAACGCTTCGCAATATGAGATACTCTGAGATATCGTAAAAAAATGCTCATAATCTGAACATGTTCTACTCCATATCATGCAGCAGAATTTCTTTATGGAAAGGCATGGTATTTCCAAGGGAATAGGTGTTGAAAAGTGACCTAAAGAGGAGTAAAAAGCAAAGTGAAAGTGTAAAAAAATGTAACGTGAGATTTTCCTAGGGAATAATTGTTGTCTTTGCAAGGATCGTCACCTTCGCACGAGGTTCCATTTCTCCCTTTGTGGAAAGTTAAAAACTCACACTCAAAAGGAACCCAATTCCGAAACATTGTTTTCAAATGGATCGAATTCATCCCAAATCGGCTCTCTCTCTCTCTCTCTCTCTCTCAAATCTTCAAATGCACTCCAATCTGCATCGTGCAAGATTAAATCCCAGAATCTTATTCCCAAAAAACAGACATTCTGACCTATATTGCCATTTTGTACTATTTGTAGTGTCTCACAAGAAACCGGAGCCCCAAGGAAGAAAAACTTGTGTAAAGCAGTCACATACTATCTCTTTCCAATCACTTTCACAAAACATAGCCTCTCTATTTCGGTGGTTCCACCATGCTCCGCTATTCTCGCCCATTGCGAGAGCTGTCATGATAAAGCAACCCTACCAAAATTTCTCTAATCAAACAGTTTTACTGAAGTTTCTCACGTACGAAAGTGAGTTTGGTGATGTAGGGAAACAGGGTTAACTAAATATTGAATCTAAAGGACCAGTTGGTGAAAGTAGGGAAGGGGACTATAAATACAGTGGAATATTTGCTTGGCAGGGACCAGCTGCAAATTGAAAAGAAAAAATGGGATTCGGCCAGTAGGGAGGGTCTGGGAGGGTCCCGAGTTTTGAAAACTGATCCATCAACCCATCACCTTAAATTTCCTAAAAGCATATGATTTCTTGCACATTTATTCCTGCGAGTTTACGTAAACGATACCTCTTTTTCTTAATCCAGACAGTGTTATAACTCTGATAAGAGTTTTTGCTAGACAACAAATTAACCCAGATTAGAGGAAAGGTTTGTCCCACTAATGCAATCTTCCAACCACTCTGCAACATTGACCCGCATTAAGTTTTGATAGTTTTATCATTAATTAGCTCCCAATTATTTCTCTTTTAATTACAAATTATATTGACTGCATGTTTTGCACACGTGTCGCACATGCAAGGGCCACGAGCCTGATATAATTGACTTAAACATGCTACTCTTATCATCTATTTGTATCATCTTTTTAATAGAGATAAGACTCACATACGTTAGTGGACCCTACCTCTATTAGAGATATGATATAAACGATGGTACAAATAGATGATAAGTGTAGCAATACTCGTAAAGTATTACTAACCATAAAAATCATCCGTAAAATATTGTGAATGTAAGTACAGACAACTATTCATAGTTAATGATAATTACATATAATTCTATGATCATTAATTATTTTCTTCGACAGTATCTTATTTATCGTCACGTTTAATACTCTTCGTTATTGGCATGTTGTACTAAAAAGAAAAAAATGGAGTGTAGATACAACATCTGACCTAAGTTACTAAAAACCGCTAACTTAGTAATCATCTAGAAGTATAAATCCCTCACGCATCTAATTTTCTATTCGGAAGTGCAAAGAGGGAGCTAAAACGAGCTTTAATTCTCTGAATTTAGCTTCTTTCATTGAAGTTGAAAGGTCAATTTATAAACATGATTAATGCTAAGATTAAGAGACAAAAATTGTTAAAAAATGAAGGAACAAAACCTACAAGGAAGGTTGTTGTCCTATACAAACATTGAGGCATGGATGATGATGATACAAATTACAATAGGTTGGATAGGTTTGAAGAGGATGGGCCACGAACCCATGAGAGAGTGCCGAGTGGACACCAGGTGGACTAAGGACGGCATAAATAATGAGATTAAACCTTTGATTAACACTCTGATTAATGCATAAGTAAGAGAGTAATTTGCCAATTTTAGGAAAATAAAGAAATAAATATATGCCGACCAAAGTTTATTGTGACACTGGTTTTGAATCACCTATTTTGCTTTTGGAGTTCTTCACGTCACTTTTTCTATATATTTCTTTCGTTTTCATCACACAAAAATAAAATAAATTAAAATAAAATTTGTGTGTGTATGTAAGAGAAAGAGAGAGAGGGGGGAAGGGATTGGATTGTGAAATGCTGACTTTGGTTCCCAAATTGTCAATCACGGGGGCAGGCCGTCATGGTAGACTCCACAGTACACACTACAGCCACAAACCGATTAGCTTGTCATGGAACGGGTTCATCAACTCTATAATATCTCGTGAATAATACGTCTTGTTGAAAACAATTTATATAAATAGTATTGCACCATACAATGGCACGAAATGATACGGTAACGATATACTGTGATATGAAAGTTGATCTCACGTCCGGAAGACAGACATGAATTGAGGGGATGAGGAAGGGCAATTCTGACATTTTGAAGAACATTACCAAGCAGACGGGGAATGTATTTAATGTTTGTTGACCGGTTCCAGAACCATCCACTTTTATATTATTTTTCATGTTTAAGGAGAAAATTAAAGTTTTATTTAAGGGGGTTGCTTAGGATCTATGCAACAAAGACATCTCCAATTTTTATACCACTTCTAATGACATGGTCAAATCAAACACTAATCAAATATTAATCTCCCACATTAAATTAATGCCGTTTGTGAAATTTAAATGGAGGTTCTCAACAACTCCATGCCAAGTGAGCAAGATGATTATGTAAAGTTAAATCTTAATTATTGTAAACCTCAACTTAACTTACATAATTAGGATGGCGGGAAATGTAAAGCTCAAGGTATTTTTATCACATGCGACGAGATAATTCACCCGCAACAAAACTATACCTGTATCATATATTATAGAGGCATAAGCGAAAAACCGAGTAAACTACAAAAATCATGTGTAATTAAACCCTCCCAATGTATAGTATCCTAACGTTCATGTGAGTCCAAGTTCGGTAATTTTTGCTTTCGGAACTTTCAATTTCAGTTCGATAAATTTTGGTTCGGTTTCAGTATTCGGTTCAGAAAATTTCAGCCCTGAGCTAAAAAGGAATCCAATGCTTGAGAATCTCACGAGGGTGGGTTAGATTTCTTTTTTTTTTTTTTTTTTTTGCTATATTTAATGCATTTAACAAGTGGGTAGGTGCCCTATGGCATAAGGAAACACCTCCCCACACGGCAGCTATTTCCCACAGCTCACCCCTCCAACCGTTGCACAAGATGTAAAATTATGTTGCCTAATTCAATTAAATGGGGGTCGATCACACACTTAAGGCCTTCTGAAAAATACATGCAGAAAAAAGCACCCCTACTAAAGTTCTTCTCCCCAAAAGATTTTCCAACGGGAAGTAACTTCTCCACACCCCTCCCCTGCGCTCCTATTAGAAGAAGAAATAAACATGGGTGTGCAAAAAAACCAGGACGGGCGAAAATTATTTCTCTTTCCTAAAGCATTGAAGGATTTAGAGGTGATGAGCTCATTGACAAGCAATAAGGGACGGCAACAACCTCCATGATGGCTGACTAGTTTCCTACCTTTTTTTCCCTGTGCTAAAAGATGATTAATTTTCCATCTTTTTTGCAGTACAAAGTGAGACATTTCAACATCACAGATGCAATAACTTGTCAAAAATATTAAATTTCCCTGCCACATAAATCTTATATAAATACAAGACAAAGACGTACATATGAGGTTGAACACTCACAAGATTTTCCATGGAGGAGCATAAAATCTTGCATAAATCATATACGGTTGCGTGTACCACCATAAACTCATCGTCAATGAATGGCCTCGAGCATCTCTCTTCATATTCTATGAGTTAATAGCGACATATGCAGGCAATGAAAAATAGACTAATTTATTTAAGTTTTCCGGTGTCAAAATCAGTATTAGATCGATCCTCTAGAAGGGGTTGGGAAGGAGAAGGAAGTTTTCAACCCGTCTTTCGGCGGTTTTTGTGTTCACATTTGATAAGAAAATAGATCAATAATCTTATAAACTACACATGGACCATACAAGATTCTATGACAAAACTCAGTAGTATCCTATGTTTGCGAGTGCAAAGATTCCCTATTTAAAAGAAAATCTAATTCCAGCAGCCCTTCAAACCAAGACGAGACTTTTCATGAGCAATGATAACTTGCCGATGGAATTTCATTAAACGACCCCTTTCGACTATAAAACTCTTAATTCTTCAAACAATATTTAGAAGTAAATATTACAATAGGCCTAGAGATATTTCCACCATAAAGAATGGTCATCTGATGAGTTTTAAAAGTAACATAACTTAAGATGTCCTGAAATCCAACAGCCAATCTCTTACGGCCTGCTCAGCTCAAACCACAATCCTAAAGGGCAATACAGGTACTATAAAACCAATAAGCTTCATATTCAAGATACACATCGACACCAAGCAATTCTTAAAAGTCTTATTGGCCATCAGAATAATCCACGTTACACAAGATTATGATCGTTTTTGGTCCAGGACTTAAAACGCTCAACTCAAGAAATAGAAAGATCAAAATGGAAGTTCAGGACGGCATTCAGTTGAAGTTTATAACAAACAGTTGACATTTATAGCATTGCTATCCTGAACTAATGCATCTAAGTCATTCTTACTCATTATTGGCTACTTGCGTTATCTTTCTCAGAAAATCCATCAGTGGCAGCACCCAATGACTGTGAAGGTGTTTCTGCACATGCCCTCAGGACAGCTTCATTCTGCAAGGAAAGTGGCATTCCAGGAGTTCAATATCAGTTTAACAGAAGATCACCAAATTTTGCGACACAAAATAAATCCCAACACTTTGACAAAAATAAACATAAATCCCAACACACAGTTTTGAGTGTGCAAGTATAACATACACTCCATAAGCACATTGCAATAGTGCTTTCAAGTAGTCACACATAAATCCTGCATCTAGTCATTTCGATTCCCTCTATCAAATGTTTTGCAGTGCATTTGTTACTAACGTAGCATAAGTCCTTGGTACTTGAAATTCCCTCCAAGCACACCACAATATAATTAGACTGATTCCATCATTGATAATTAGGGTCTAAACCATGATTGAAGAAAATAGAATTCAAATGAAAAACAATCAGTCTGGTATTTATTTCCGAATTGGGACCACATTAGATGGTAATCATGTTTAAGCCCAATGACAACCACAGAAACAAGCTTTTGTAAATACATTGTGTAGTTTCATTCATAGGGCATTTCAACTAATAGACCTGGTTAATTGACCACAAATTATGATCACATGAATAAGACGGAAGGATACCCTTTTCTAATCAATCCAACACAATGCTGTTTCGCCATTTTCCGATACCAAAGTTACCAAAATTAATCATTCTTCATGTTAATTATCTCTTGAAACAATGATTGAGCAAACCCAAATGGGAATTTCTCAGTTTTCATTTGCCAAAAGACTCAACATCCCTTCACATATGCTGAGGTTTACGCACAGTTCGACTTTCAAGTGAAGCAATGCACTACTGCCTGGCTTCTATGTACACTCCAAATCACATTTAACGTGGAATAATCCGATTTCGAGCAAGTAATAACTACGAAATTTCGAGAATTCAGTAAAACCCTAACCCTAAAACCCTCATCCGAGAGTGGGAAATCAGAAATGATATGAAACAGTCAAAGGGGGGAGAAGAGAACCTGCCAAACGCGGAGGAGACGCTTCTTGGCGTTGGCTTTACGGGTGGTGGTCAGCTTTATTCTCTTCCAAACGAGACCGCCGGAGTCGTGCTTCTTCACTATCTCCAGCACTCGCGTCCCCCAAAACGCACCCGCCATCTCTCTCTCTCTCTCTCTCTCTGTCTCTCTCTCGCCCCTTTTGTTCTCTGTTTGGATCTCCTATTGGATTCGGTGGGTTTTTACAGGGCTTATTTATTCTTTCGATTTTGGGCCCAATTTGTTCAATCTGGCCCATTTAGGTTGGGTTTTTTTGTATGGGATGAAAAAATGGTGTGCAAAAATTAGTTTTCCATAAAAGTATAAAATTCTGATTCATGTGAGAAGCAACGACTCTAGCAGGATCACTAATGAAATATCACTTTAGCCCATTTCATTGAAAATATCACTTCAACCAATTTAATTCGAAATATATATTTTTTGTGTCAAAGAAAAAAAAAAAAGAAATTTTGCTTATGTCGTTTAACTACAAATTACTCTTTCTTAATTAGATGCAATGAGGTGTATGAGCGTCAATTTTTATTAAAGGTATAATTTGGACTTCAAATTACCACTTCATCATTCCATCCTTAAAACGTTGATAACAAATGTTAAATACGAATTATAATAGATTTTACACGGAAAAATATATTTTGAATAACATAAATACAATAATTTTTTGTAGTGGTAAGAGAAATAAAAAAAAATTAATAAAAATGATTCAAATTCTTGATGGTGCCAAAAGACAAGGTTATGACAACAATTCTAATATGAAAGGGGAAAATAAAGGTGTGCAAGGTACTTAAAATAAATCCTAGAGTATTCTACACTCCATGTGGATGTCATAGCCTTAATCTTGCACTTTGTGATATGGCAAACTGTTGCCCTAAAGCTATGTCTTTTTTTTTTTTTGGAGTAATACAACACATATATACATTGTTCTCATCCTCTACAAAGCGATGGAAAGTTTTTACAAATCATGTGCAAGGAAGTCACACCCTAAAACCGTTTTCACAAACTCATTGGGAAAGTCATATTGAAAGTGTTAAACCCATAAGAGAAAGCACTCAACATATAAGAGATGCTTTAATTCACTTTGCAAATACTAGTGAAGATCCTAAGTCAATGAGTGGTGTCGAGTCACTATCAATTCATGAGTTGGAGAATTTTGAATTCTTGTTAGGTATGGTTATATGGCATGAATTCTTGTTTGTTATTAATAATGTTAGCAAAGCTCTTCAAAAAGAAGACATGCATATTGATGTTGCTATTGATTAGTTAAAAAGACTTATAACCATTCTTGATCAGTATAGAGAACATGGATTTGATGAGGCAATGAATGAAGCTAAGAAAATAGCAAGTGAGATAGGGATTGATCCTATTTTTCATGAGAAACGCATCATTCGAAGACAGAAACTGTTTGATGAGAGTGCTGGTGATACGGTAAAACAATTAGCTATTGAAACTTCTAAAGTTGATTACTTTCTTTATATAATTGATCAAGCTCGTACTTCACTTGATAACAGATTTGAACAATTTCAGAAAAATGAAGAAACTTTTGGGCTTTTGTTTAACTTGAAGAAGTTAAAAGCTGCAAAGAATGATAGCTCGAGGAGTTTTTGTATCAATCTTGAAGAATTTTTGAAACATGGTAAGCATTTTGATATTGATGGAAAGACTTATTTCTAGAGCTAAGAATCTTGAGAGAGACTTTACCGAATGATAGTCAGGCAATGGAAGTGTTGGACTATTTGAGACAAATGGATGGTTGTTTCCTAAATGCATGGGTTGCTTATAGAATTTTGTTAACCATACCAGTTACAGTTGCGTATGCTGAAAGAAGTTTTTCAAAATTAAAGTTGATAAAATCTTATTTTCGATCAACTATGTCACAAGAACGGTTGAACAACTTAGCTATTTTATCAATTGAAAAAAAATTGGTTGAAAAATTAGATTATGTAAACTTAATTGGTGCATTTGTGTCTAAAAACGCAAGATATGTAATATTTAAGTAATGTTTGTATTTCTTCTTTTGATATTAATTTCTAATGGTATTTGATGTTGAAATATATATATTGTGTATTTAGCAAATTTCTTTTTTTTACATATCAATGTACAAAAAGTCATGGGTTAGAAAACTTTAAGGCCTTATCTTGAAAGCTCGCCTAGGGGCCTCAAATTCTCAGGGCCGACTAGCGTCTTGTATGCTTTTGTTTGCCTCGTTTTGCATGTATAGTGTCTGCATCGTTTTGCATGCCAGAAGCCTGCCCCTTTTTTTAGTCCTCGAAGCCCGCACCATTTTGGCGTGCATTGAACCAGTCTTGTTTTTTGTGCCCACCACGATTTATGCACCTTATACCACCTCATTTTTCATGCACAGAGCCTGTGCTCGTTTTGTGTGCTAAAAGCCCGCCTTGTTTTCTGTGAGCCGAGCCCACCTTGTTTTTCGTGTCATGGTTCTCCTCGTTCTACGCAAGCTTAGTTGACATCATTTTGTGTGCGGCGAGCCCGCCTAACACCCATGTTTTTTTGACAGAAATTCAAAATTTTTATTATCTCAAAATATTTTTCCTATGTGACAACCCGTTCCAAATTTTACGTTTTTATTTTATTTTAAAAGCGTGAATTTGCGAAATTGCCCTAGAGGCAAGGACTTTGACTTCCGTTGACCATCGACTTGGGAGATGTGAGACTTATTCTTTTAGCATATCCTCGTAGTACTCATTGGTACAAACGTATAGGCAAAAACCGTTTGCGAGTCCGGATTATAATGGTATACTTATGGACATTTGAAATTGGTTATTTAAATATTTGAATTCCCACCTTGTGGGATTAGTAGACCAATTAAATTAAAGGGACAAGGAACCAATTAGAAGAGGGAAGTGAAGCTTGCAGCCAATCAGAAAGAAAGAAGAAAAGAAAAAAACAAAAAAAAAAAAAAAAGGGGGGGAAAGCTTCCCGTGCACCCATACCCGCACCACCGCGAGTCCATTTTCCAAGGCCGATTCCGGCCAACTCCGGTGGAGTTTTTCGATGCCACCACCACCATCTTGAAGCTCTCATTCCCCTCTACAAAACCCACCCAAGAACCACCTTGATTAACCATGGGATGTGGAGGTTTGAGGCCACGAAAGTTGACGAAAATCAATGGTGCTCCGCCCACCCTTTTCGATTTTCCGGCAAATCGGCAAAGCAATGGCCGATGCCACCACTTGGGCTTTGTAGCCCATCATCCCAGGAGCAAAACCCAACCAACCTTGACCCCGTTGGACCACCGTAGACGACGAATCGATGTCGGGAAGTTTTAGGCACCCGTCGGCTTCGTGAACAAAATTGACCATCTTCCGTCCACTTTTGGACTTCGTGGTAGGTATGAAAGGTGCTCCACTCACTGAGATCTTCATTTTTGTTAAGTTTGAGAATTTTTGGAAATAGTTGGATTTTCCGGCGAGTCGGGGCGGCCGACCGCCACCAGCGGCGGCGCGTGGCCAGTGAGCCGCCAGTGTTATTTTTAGGCTATGTCGAATATTTTGAATTCAGTTTTGTCATTTGAATGACGTAGGTTGATCGTTGGAACCTACATTCGTTATGATACGTTACTTGATAAAAATGTGAATCGATGATCTGACCGTTGGATCATTACCAAAATTGGATACATTATAATACGTAATATTTAAAGATCATAGGAATTTACGGATCAGGAATCCGACTTATGGATCTTCCTGAATTGGATTTGTAAGTTAGTAAAATAAATGTTCACGACCACTTGTTTTAGGCAATTGGCGGAGATCTGACCGTTGGATCGTAATGAAATTTTAATATGTTATTCTAGAAACATATTGTGGATCGTTGGGAGTTGCGGATTGGAAATCTGATATGCGGATCTTCCGGGTCAAGTTATACAGGGTTGTAAACCCTACTGTCGATCTTTGATCGACGGTTGACTTGTGGTCAATGGGTATCAAACTATTTTAGAATGTCGTTGAGGTTGTGTTTTACGTGAATTACGTATTCTACGGATAAGAGTTCTGAGATGTGATTTGATAATTGGCCACAGGGACCGATCATTCAGGACGCCTCGATGCGTGTGCTAGAGAAGTATAGCGTGGACTCGAGGTGAGTGAATCTTTTCCTTTTTATTGTGCATATTATTGAGAGTTCTATCGACACTTTTAAATTGACTAGGTATATTACCTTCATATAATTATTGTGAATGCTTGAAGTACCTATATGAACTACGAATGGCTTGATCCCTATTTAGGGTACGTAGGCAGTCTAACGAGACGTTAGATGCAGCCATAAAATATTTGAGGCAAAAGCCTTGCTTGGGAAATTGAGTAATACGAAGGAAATTGGTAAAGACAAGTTTTAGTTTTGTGAATTAGTTAGTTAAATTAGAGGTAATTGGGTTGTTAGGGATAATTATCCCTGAAAATAAGTAGTTTGGGAGTAGGGCGTTATTGATTGTACACTTCACACCATATTGTTTATAATTGAAAATGCTACGACATGGTTGAGTAGTAGATTGCATCATGATATATTCATATGTATATTACTTGCATATAATTATTGGGAATGCTTTCAAGTGCAAAGGTGAACTCAGGACACCCAGGTAAGTTCAGGTGAGTTTATAGTACTAGTTGAATCGATTGTGTTATAGCATGACTACAATTATGAGTTAGGCAACTTCGATACTGTCGTACTGGTTGCCATGAGTTGCACATGTTATATTGAGATGCATTGAGAGCTCATAAACCTGCACCCCGGTGTTAGTGTTCCCGCCCGTGGCCAGGGCACAGTCCTTCACGTGATGTTCACCTCCCACACCTTACGCTCACCTTGGATCCAAGGTAGGTGCACGTCCTGTCGTACAGACCACTTTAGGTGGTTCCGACTTGTAGGTGACCCGCGATTATTCGCCCAGCCTTCACGTGATCGTAGCACTTGAGCGTATTTATTTACACCCAGTCTTGTCATACAGACCACTTTAGGTGGTTCCGACTCGTGTGCAGGTATACTTATTGAGCTATTGGCTAGCCAGGATTGATGAGATATGGATAAGTCGTACAGGTCACTATAGGTGACTCCGACTTATATGCTAGCCAGGATTGACGAGATATGGATAAGTCGTACAGGTTATTATAGGTGACTCCGACTTATATGCTAGCCAGGATTG